ACCCGGGACAGAGCACGCCGCACCATTACCCTGACTCAGTCACACATGGTGCAGCAGGTCCTTCAGCGCTTCGGCTTCACGTACTCCTCGCCTCAGGCCACTCCTCTGCCTACTCGCCACTCGCTCTCAGCTCTGCCTTCGGATGAGTCCGTAGAGTCGAGTGGCCCGTTTGCAGAGCTTGTTGGCTGCCTCATGTACCTGATGACCTGCACACGACCTGACCTCGCATACCCTCTTAGCATTCTCGCACGCTTTGTTGCTCCTGGGAGACACCGACCAGAGCACATGGCTGCAGCGAAGAGGGTGTTGCGCTACTTGTGCAGTACGTCGGGCATGGGGCTAGTGCTTGGAGGGCGCAGTCCAGTGGTCCTCACTGGGCACGCAGACGCTTCTTGGGCTGACGACCAGGCTACGCAGCGCTCGTCACAGGGTTACACCTTCAGCCTTGGTTCCGGCTCTGTCTCGTGGCGGGCTACCCGCTCGTCTTCTGTTCTCGGCTCCAGTTGTGAGGCTGAGATCTACGCTGGGGCCATGGCTGCACAGGAGTTACGCTGGCTCACCTACCTGCTGACCGACCTTGGAGAGCAGCCTCGTTCTCCTCCAGTCCTGTACGTAGACAACAAGGCCATGCTGGCCTTGTGTCGAGAGCAGCGACTGGAGCACAGAACGAAGCACATTGCTCTTCGCTACTTTCTTGCTCGTGAGCTACAGCAGCGTGGACAGCTGCGACTTGCGTACGTGGCCTCTGAGGCCAACACTGCTGATGTCTTCACCAAGGCACTTGCGCCTTGTGATCATCAGCGTTGCTGCACGCAGTTGGGTCTTGTGCCTGTATTGCCTCACTTGCTCTCCTCTTGACCTTGCTTGTACTTTCGCATATATATACTCTTGCTCTTGTATATCTCTATATATGATCTTGCATGTGAACTGGCCTTGTGGCCTTTGAACTTGTGCTCGGAATGCGTGGTGACTTTGTGATCCACCCTGAGCTTTGCTTTGCTTTGCTTGACCGGTCTTGTGACCCCTTGTTCTCCCCCACTTTGCCTATGGGGGTGTGTCAGAACTTATAGCTTACTTGTTTCTGTAGGCTATAGTGGGGTATCCCATAGGGGGTACAACCCAATTAGGGTTTCCTATTTGTACTCACTTCGTTCATAGTCATTCCACTTCTCGTTCGTACTTTCTCAGCGGGGCCGCTGAGGAGAAGGGCGGCGGGTCCGCTGAGGAGAAGGGCGGCGGGGCCGCTGAGTAAGGGCGGGGCCGCAGCGACGGGCAGCGAGGCCGCGGAGACGGGCGGCGGGTCCGCGATGCGGGGCGACGAGGCCACTGTGACGGGCGGCGGGGCCGCACTAAAGGGCGGCAGGGCCGAAACGAAGGGCGGCGAGGCCGCTAGGGGAAGGGGCCGCTAGGGCGTAGGGGGCCGCTAGGGCGGCTCGGCGAGGTAAGAGCCCGGAGCGCGACTCGGGCGGAGCGCGCTTCGGGTAGGAGAGAATTTATTTTTGAAACCCGATGTGGTGGGCCCTAGGCACAGTTCCCAAGGGGGAACCTGCTCGATACCATGAGGAAAGTAGAACGAGAATGAATTGACTAAGGAATGGAAGTGATACAAATATGCAACCCTAGAAATGTGTACCCCATATAGGCTACCCCACTATAGCCTACACAATATTATAATTTGACACATAGTTCAATCACTTCTTGTTTTTGACACGCACCCCCTGAAATTTTTTGTTTTATTATAAGCACACGTAAACTCAAAATTTTGAAATGTGTTCAAAACGCTGTAACGATTTATACTTTAGTAGGCGGATGTGTTGCAGATTCAGTTCCCTTCACATTTCGGACCCTGCACTGGATGCAGGTCCAGTCTGCACGAGCTGTCAGGAGCTGGATGTGAGTCAGATTGGGTGTATCCCCCTGCGCGACCCCATGTAACTTCGACTCGATTGAAAAGGCAAGCACGAGATCTACAGTTTGGTGTTAAAAATATAACAAAACATATATGTCATTTTATTTACGCCGATGCTTATAAATTTACTCGATTATAAGCCCACCCCCTAAAAAAACATGTTTTATCATTGCCCCCCATGGGGGTATATCCGAGGTATGACGGGTAATCCAAGAGCACCGTTGAAATACTTACCGTTTAAAAAAACGAGTCTTGTAATGTGCTCGCCCGTACTGACCAATCGCCTACGAAAGTAGACGTCACAACAGTCGTCTTGGTGTTAGAATAAAAGAGGAGATCACAAACCGCATCCCACATACCACCTTAGTTAAGGCAAGAAACTGATCTTCCTACAGTCACGACAGCTACGAAAGCAGCACGGTGCTGGTAACTTGTGCTGGTCGGTTCGGGATGCGATTCCCGAGCAGTCCGTTGAAGATGAGTCTAGACTGTGCGCATGATGCGAATAGCGCGGTTACAATTAGTGCCGCCACAAGTGAGGAAGCTAGAGGAGAACGCGCCATAAGACGATAGTAGTAGTAGGAAACAGGTGCAGTCAAAAGGGATCGCTACTGGAACTAGGAGGTACGAATATTGCACGGGTAGCTAAGGAAGGCAGTGGTGAGAGATTAAAAGCGGTTGCGAAGTGCGAGGAAGCTTTGTGCAATTAGTCAAGTAGGCTTTGGTTGTGATAAAATCTGCAGCTTGCCTTTGGACTAAGGGCGTGTTAAATCGCCACACAATTCCGAAAATGGGGTCTGGCCGAATCTTCGACGGCCAAATAGTCGTCATTTTTTTCGCGAACAATGACGAGGTGGCCGAATCAGAGTCGACTCTTTAACAGCCAAAATTTACAGTTTTGGCAAGTTAACAACTTTGGTGGCCAAATCGCAGGCTGGTTCAGAAAAGTTGTTAAATTTGCAGTTACTAGAGTAGTTTAGTATGTGCGACGGGGTCGCACTTTTGACGGCGATATTTCTCATTTGACGCGATCATAAACTCTGTCGCTGGACGAAACCGTGCGACGTCGCATGCGTTTGTCGCACACTGTGTCGACTACTTGGCTGTTCGTTTTCGTGTCGACTTTTTAAACGGCCATCAAATTCGTTATTTTTTTACGAAATTTGTGACAGTCGCCACTTGACTTACGATGGTCGCAAACTGGTTACCTTCGCAAAATCGGCCCAACAGATTGTGGCGGAACTTTTGGAGTTTGCGATTTAACACGCCTTAATATGAGCTCACAGATTGGGCGCTTGAACTGGTGAGGCTGTGACGATGAGCGCGTAGATTTGGGAGGGAGTGTGGGAGGCGGTGATTGATGGTAGGGTTGCGGCGATCAAATGGGTGCGCGTTGGTGACGATGAGTGAGGTGCGGCGAAGCAGCGATTGGATGGCAGGCGACTCACCGAAAACTTGATTCGCTTCACGTGGAAATGCTGTGAGCGAAATTCACGAAGAGGTTTACTCCGTTAGGTCGCGCCGCACGTTATTACTTGATATAAGCATAACCTTGTTTCAAACAACTGATATGATTTCACTTGTGTGCTCCTTGTATGCCGCATGATTATTGTGTTAGAACATTATAGCTTATGCATTTGTTTAGGCTGTAGTGGGGTAGCCCATAAGGGGTACAACCCAATAAGGGTTAGTACTTGTACCCAACTCTTTCATAGTTCAATCATTCATGTTTCAGTTTTCTCATGGTATCGAGCGGGTTCCCTCGTGGAAACTGTTCCTAGGGCCCACCGATTTGATTTTTTTTCCTGCCCGGAGCGCGCTCAGCCCTTGCCCGAGTCGCGCTCCCGCTTTCTCACTGTGGCGCACAGCCCTAGCGGCTGTGTCGCGCCGCCCTTGATAGCCCCGATCTGCCGCCCTAGCGGCCCCGTCGCCTACCCCACGGCCCTCGAGCCGCCCTTCCCGGCCCCGATTCGCCGCCCTTTCGGCCCCGTCGCCTACCCCGCGGCCCTCGCACCGCCCTTCCCGAATTGGCCCCGACACTATGGCTCCGTCGCCTACCTGCGGCCCCGTCGCCTACCTGCGGCCCCGCCGCCTACCTGCGGCCCCGTCGCCTACCTCCGGCCTCGCCGCCTATCTGCGGCCCCGTCGCCTACCTGCGGCCACGTCGCCTACCTGCGGCCCCGCCGCCTACCTGCAGCCCCGACGCCTACCTGCGGCCCCATCGCCTACCTGCGGCCCCGCCGCCTACTTGCGGCCCCGTCGCCTACCCTAGGGCCCCGGCGCCGCCCCTTCCCGGTCCGGGCCCAGCCCCTGCTGGCCCCGTCGCACGCCCATCTAGGCCCCGACCCCGCCTTCACGCGGCCTCGCCGAGCTACTGCCGAGCCGCCAGCGCCACCCGAGCCGCCTGAGCCGCCGTCCCATCGAGCCGCCTGAGCCGCCCGAGCCGACATCCCGCCGAGCCGCCCGAGCCGCCCGAGCCGCCCGAGCAGTAGAGTAGCCGAGCCGCCGAGCTGCAGTTCTTGCCGAGCCGCCAAGCTGCAGTTCCTGCCGAGCTACCGAGCCCCCGAGCCGCCCTGTCCGGTAAGAGCAGCGCCTCTGTCACTGCACTGCCCTTACCCCACTGTTCGCGCTACCAGTCTACTATTGTCTTGGCTACCCCTAGTGTCCTCACTTTTGACGCTGAGGGTTGGGCCATTGACTTTGATGTCTGGGTAGATGACCTGCAGCTTTTCATACAGTGCGATAGGGCAGACGGTCTCTCCCTCTTTGACCTCACCTCTAGTGCGTCTCCTGCCCCTGCTGCTGATGCTGACGCCACTGTTCGCTCACAGTGGGCCACACGCGATGCTGCTGCACGTCTTGCTGCACACTTTAGCCAGTACAAGAGTGCTCAGACCTTGTACGACGCTGTAGTTGCACGCTACTCCTCCCTTGCCACTGCTGCACTGAGCCGCCTCATGCTACCGTACCTCTTCCCTGACCTTGCTGCCTTTCCCACAGTCGCTGACCTCATTACGCACCTCCGCACTAGTGACACTCGCTACCATGCTGCGCTTCCTGCTGAGTTCTGCACCAAGAACCCCCCCTCCCAATGTACATCACTCTCTACTACATAGTCACCCGCCTCCCTGACTCCCTTCGTGTAGTCAGGGACCACTTCCTCTCAGTTTGCCCCACCACCCTCACCGTTGACCTCCTCGAGAAGACCCTCCTAGCAGCGGAGAAGAGCATAGTCGCTGTAGGAGCCTCTCGTGGTGACCCGCGCACCCCCAATCTTTGAGGGGTGTTCCCCCTCCCCCCTTTTGCCCTCTGTTGCCTATTCTGCTGCGGGCGACCTCGTTGGGCTTGAGTAAGTCGGTGCGGCGTCTACCTCTAGCAAGAGACGCCGCCCTGGCAAGGGCAAGGGGGGCAGGGGCGCTGGAGGAGCTAGCAGGGGCGGTGGAGGCGGCGGTGGAGGCGACAGAGGGAGTGGGGGTGGCGGTGGGGGTGGTGGCGGGGGTGGAGGTGTCGGTGGCGGCAGTGGAGGCGGAGGAGGCGGCGGTGGCGGTGGGAGCGGAGGTGGTGGCGGTGGTGGAGGAGGCGGTGGCGGAGGAGGTGGAGCTGGTCGGGGTGGCACTACGCAGAGGGTCGGCTCCGGTGGTGGTCAGCGCCAGCAGCAGCACCACCAGCAGCAGCGCACTCGTGACATCCCCCCCCCTTAGCAGCTCCGTGACAGGTACACTGCACGCCAGCGGGGTGGGGGTACTGGTCCTTGCACCTACGTCCTACGCACCGGCGACCGCGCGGGTGAGCAGTGCGGGGCTGCGCACTCCACCCAGCGCTGCTTTGGCTGCCTGACAGACGCTTGGCGTCACCAGTTCCCGGAGGCTACGGAGATCCCCCGCTGGGGTGAGCTGTCTAGGGCGGGAGTTGCTTTCTTTGACCTTGACTTTAATGCTATTCTTGCTGCCATGTATGCTGTTACTATTAGTGATGAGGGTGACTGTTACCGGTGTTTTCCGCCCGACCCGGGCATTGAGACTGTCGCTCTAGGTACAGGTGAGGGTGCTGCTCTAGGTGCTCGTGCGCCTGCTCCCTCAGGTGCTGGTGAGTCTGCTCTCTCAGATACTGCGTCGGTGTGAGAGTACGACGGCTTATGCCAGCTATGCTTGCTTGCCTTTACTTTATTATGCTATTTCTAGCATAGGATAATTATATGGATGCATGAATTGCTTGGTTTCCTAGGCTAGGTGCTTTCCTATATTTTATTATAGTTATAGCACCGAGCTAGGTTGCGTGCACCGAATTCTGGCTTTTCGGTTGCCACCGAATTGCCTTCTACCGAATTTGGTAAGGATCTGTTCGGGACGCTTCGCGACCCGCGGAACCTTCGCGTAACACCTGGTTACGGGGCCTTGTGTCGAGCCTATATATAGCCTCGTGTTGTACCCAGGTGAACACATTCAATTCGACTCAATTCTCATTCTCTTTTCTGAACTCGCTCCTAGATCCTCACACTTGGTAATCAGAGCGGGCTTACTCGCGAGGTCTTCAACCGCTTAGTTCCGGCCTTTAAAAACCGCGGGGGCGACGACAAAAGCGCCGATACGGGTATGTAAAACCAGTTCCGCGCAATTTTTCTAAGTCCCCCTCGATTCGGTTTTCGAACACCCCTCAGATTTACTGGTAGAAAGGTTGGAGTTTTGCCCGTTCGATCGAGTTTCATCTCAACGGCCCAGAGAATTTCGCCCAAAAAAGTTGGAATTTGGAGCGTCGGATCAATTTCTCCTCAACGGCCAAGATCGGACTTGAATTTCGCCTATGGGAGATTTACGCAACCTACAAAATTCGCGCTCGTCGATTCTTCAGTCAATTTGACTCGCACTATGTCGACCAGCACCTAGAATTCGATTATTTTCGTCGCGCATCTTCCTGTAAATCACCAAATGGAGGGCCAAGGCGACAACTACGCGACTACGAGCGACATCGCGAGCCTCCGCACCGACATGGAGCAGACGCAGGCGACGCTTCGTCGACTCGAGGCTTTTCTGACAAGCTAACCAGGGTTCGCCACCGCAGCAGCAGGGACCACAGCGACTGCAGCACCGACAACTCCAGCAGCAGTGGCAACACCGACATTTCACGGACCAATGGCACCACTGTCGCCGAACCTCGAAGCAGCACGACCGAGGCTCCCGAAGGCGTTCGATCCAAGAGCGAAGGGATCCGACGTCCGGCGATTCGTGGCCACCCTCGAAATTTACTTCGAGGCCATTGGCTGTTTGACCCCGCAACACGACGCAGCAAGGATTCGGCTCGCAGCGACACTGTTACGTGGACCGGCTCTTGAATGGATTTACTACACCGACGTAACCCGCGGGGAGAAAACGTGGCAGCAGTTTTGGGCAGATTTAATCGAGCGTTTTGAACCAATTTATACAACCTACATGGCGCAGCAGCAGATACACCGACACAAGCAATACAGTAGTGTAACACAGTACACGCAGAAGATGGAGTTACTGTTCAACCGCATCACCGACCTGACCAAAGGCGAAAAAATCCAGGCGTACACCGAAGGATTAAAAATGGAGATTCGGCGGCAGGTGATTGCGGCGAATTACAACAGCTACAGAGACATCGTGCGTGCTGCCGAGCGATACGACGCGCTGACTCAAAGTCAACCCAAAACACGACGCTTCACGCCGAACCGTACATTCGGCACGGAGCGATCGGCACCCCCCACGTTCACTGAACCGATGGATATCGACAAATACGACGCGAAGCAGCAGCCGACAAAATGCGAATTTTGCGGCGCAGCAGGACATCAGTTTTTGTCATGCTACAAAATGAAGAAAGCACGTGCGGCACTCCGGGACGCAAACAATGGAGCACCCTCGAAGTAAAAAAACGGGAATCGCCAGTAGGCGCGGATCGACCTGGCGATCGCGTAAAGATCCGAAAAGCAGGAAAAGGCGACGACGTGGCGACTTTGGAGCGGGTGAAAAAAGGAGAAAATGATGGCGCGAATTTAAAACGCCACGACCGGCCGGCACCAGGGGAAATCGCCGAGGTGAATGGAGGCTCCGCGAAAAAAGACTCTGCACCGACCGGGAAACTCCAGCCGAACTCCCACGAAAGTAAGAATTCGTTAAAAGTATCCTATAAAGATGCTCTAACGAAGAATATTGCTTCTCGTGGTTTACAAGCCTTCAAAAAATTCAGGGGAGGTCTAGAGGCCAAGAAAAAGCCTTTAGAAATTATTCAGGTACCTGAAAAGTTGGGCAAAATACTACGGAGCATAGAGAAGGGTCGTGCGTTCCGTGGAGTTAATATTCTCTCCCCGCAGCATTGTGTTAAGGCTCCCCGTCGACCATAGGTGAAGCCTACACAGCTGCCAAGGCTTAGAGGAGACATCCAGGCTCAGGAAAAATTATACAAGCCTCGGAAAAATCCTCCTACCCCCCAGGTGAAGTTGAAAAGCGGTGAGTCAGGTATAGGAAAAAGGGAAGGTATTAAGTTTGATGTACCCTATGATCCTATTAACGAGACCCTCTTTGGCTACTCAGCGCAGCAGAAACCACTACACCTCGAGGTGTTATGCAATGGGCGACGCCTCCAGGCACTGGTGGACAGCGGTGCATCTCACTCTGTGTGACCGTGGAGCATTGGAGAAAATTGGAGAGAAGGCGGAAGAGACCCAGTTTTCAGCAACCATGGTGGACGGTACGAAGCTTCCTATCCACGGCGAAGCATCACTGCAACTGCATATAGGTGCGTTGAGGTGGAAGCCGAAGCTACCAGTCACCAACATCGAAGGATTAGAGTTTATCTCGGGGCGAGATTTCCTGAAGCGGTTCAACCCCGAGATCGATTGGGTCAACAGCAAGGTGTGCATCTACAACAATGGGAAGCGGATAGCACTGCGAAGCTGGACGGATACAGGGGATGTACCTGAAACGACACTGGCACGGTTCGAACAGACGGTGAACGAGAGTAACACGGGTTACCTAGCACTGGTTATGGCAGCAGCAGAGGAGGAGAAGCCGAGTTCCGAGCTACCTGCAGCAGTGAAGGAGGTCTTGGAGCAGTACAAGGATATAATGCCCGACGACCTACCTGCAGGCGTACCTCCAGCACGCACCCACGAGCACGAGATCGTGGAGGAACCAGGTGCGAAACCCGTCTCACGTGCACCATACCGACTGAGTCCGACTGAACTGACAGACATGAAAAAACAGATCGAGTATCTACTGGATAGATAACTGATCCGCCCATCCACCTCTCCCTACGGTGCACCAGTTCTCTTCACTCCAAAACCAGACGGCAGTCTACGGATCTGCATCGACTACCGCGCACTGAACAAACAGACAGTCAAAAACAAATATCCCATACCGCGCATAGACGACCTACTTGATCAACTGCAACGCACCAGCAATGTTTCAGGCGGAGATGAATCACATCTTACGACCCCTGCTCGACGAGTGCGTTGTGGTGTACCTGGACAACATTCTCATCTACTCCAAGAACATGAAGGAGCACGTGGAGCATCTGCGGAAGGTGTTCGAGATCCTGCGGAAAAACAAGTTCTACGTGAAGCTCTCAAAGAGCGACTTTGCCCTGAAGCTCTACGTGCAGTTTCTCGGGCACATGGTGAGTGCCGAGGGCGTACACGTGGACCCACGGAAGATCGAAGCCGTCAAGAAGTGGAAAGTACCAGAGAACGGGAAGGAGCTGCAGTAGTTCCTAGGCTTCGCCAACTACTACAACAGGTTCGTGCCGCAGTACGCTAAGATAGCAGCGCCACTAACCGATCTACTGAAAAAGGATACGCCCTACAAATGGGATGCCCTTCATCAGCAAGCCATGGAGCAGCTACAGACAGCACTGACTACAGCGCCAGTACTCATCTTGCCGGATCCAGACAAGGACTACGTGGTGGAAGCAAACGCTAGTGACCAAGCAGTTGGAGCAGTACTGATGCAGGATCACGGACGCGGTTTGCAGCCCATCGCCTACCTCAGTAAGAAGCTACACGGAGCAGAACTAAACTACCCCATTCACGACAAGGAAGCCTTAGCGATAGTCATAGCCTTCAAGGCGTGGAGGTGTTACCTAGAGGGAGCCAAGACTACAGTCTATACTGACCACTGCAGTCTCAAATACCTGAAGTCATAGCCGACACTCTCACGACGACAGGTGCGGTGGGTGGACTTCCTGGAAACTCACTTCCACAACGACATCGTCTACAAGCCCGGGCTATACAATTAGGCAGATGTGTTGAGCCATCCCGGACATGTAGCAGGCATCCAGCTCGATGGGATGAACCCTCTGCTCAAGGGTCTATTCCAACATGGGTACTCCATGGACGCAGAGATTGCTACAGCACAGACCAAGAAGCTATTACAGTGGGAGAAAGACTTAGCTGTAAGGAAGGGTTCAGGAAAGATTTGGGTACCGAATTACGCCCCGCTATGGCAGATCCTATTGGAGGAGTTTCACGACGTACCTTACGCGGGACATTTTGGGAGCAACAAGACGTTAGCAGGGATAGCGAAGTATTACTACTGGCCCGGGATGGCAGCAGACGTGCAGCAGTTCGTCACCTCATGCAACACGTGCCTGCGGATGAAGAGCAGCAAGCAGAAAAAAGCAGGGTTACTTCAGCCTCTACCCGTACCAGAGCGGCCATGGCAGGTCGTTAGCCTCGACTTCATCATCAGACTTCCTTCAACCTCACGGGGGCACGATTCCATCCTCGTAGTCATCGATAAGTTCTCCAAAATGGGTCACTTCATACTGACCAACGCCACAGCTACAGCTTAAGCAACTGCTCGACTCTTCTTCGACCGCATCATCACCACCCCCAGACTGACGGACAGACAGAGCGACTCAATCAAGTGGTTGAACAGTTACTGCGCACAGCTTGCAAGGAAGACGTCAGCCACTAGGACACACAGTTACCAACCCTAGAGTTCGCTTACAACAACGCATCACATGCGGCCACAGGGAAACCTCCTTTCTTCCTATGTTACGGACGGGAACCACTCACACCACAGCAGCCAACTACACCGGCACACGTCCAAGCCGCACATAACTTCGTCACCACCATGCAGCAGCTATGGGAGAAGACTCAGCGACGTCT